AATTAAAATAAATTTAATAATAATTATTTTTTTTTGTTTGAAAAATCACTGACAGAATATATTTTAATTTTAATTAAAATAAACTTTATCAAAAATCTTTTTTAAATGTAATTACTTTTTTGTTATATTTGTTTAATTTTATAGATCTAAATACTTTTTAGTTCAAAAAATATTTTGGGGCTTAATCGTTCAACATATGAATGTTCATTGGATTTTTTTCCCGATTTTTTTCACTATTTTACCACTTTAACTAGTTGTACAAGTCATAAGAATGTATCCAACATGTTTTATAAAAGTTCAAAAAGTTATTTAACATGTTTTGGATTGTTCAAGGACTTATTTGTTCCAAAAATTGTCCAAGGACTTATTTAACATTTTTTGAAATGTTCAAGGACTTATTTGTTCCAAAAATTGTCCAATGAGTTATTTAACATTTTTTGAAATGTCCAATGACTTATTTGTTTCAAAAATTGTCCAATGACTTATTTAACATATTTTGGAATGTCCAAGGACTTATTTGTTCTAAAAAAATTGTCCAATGACTTATTTAACATGTTTTGRAATGTCCAAGGACTTATTTGTTCCAAAAAAAAGTCTAAGGACTTAATCATTCCAAACAAGAAAGTCTATTGGTTTTTATTGTACTTTTCCCCATTAAGTACTACTAATTTATGTATTCAATCTTAAAATCTTTTAATCTACAATTAAAATAACATATAGTGCAAGTTACCAATGTATATTATTACCTTTTCTTTTCATGTTCCCAAAATACTTTTGACACATTTCATTAATGTCTTCACCTTCTCATACTTCTATATCTTCTCCCCATCCCCTAAGGTGAGATTCAAACTGATATTTATTATGAATTTTTAAAAGTTCTTTTATTTAATTGTTCTAGAACTCTCGGTATCGGTCTCGATCTTTTGATTCTTTACTCTTGGTGTAAATCGAACACATTTGTGGATTCGTTTAAATATGTTGGATTTTAAGCTGTCATACAATTTTTTTTCATTGATAGACTGTAATTGGAACCATAACTCTTATTTATTCAAATTGTATTAATATGTAAAGATCAAATATAACTTATATCATTGTTAAATTTTCTCTAATAAAACCAGTGAAAGTTCAAAATTGTTAAAATTTATGACTCCCGCTACATTACACGGATATACAACTAGTTTTTTTAATAAAAAAAGGACAAGAATGATTATTACACCGCGACAAGTATATAATTTTGAGTTTGTTAAATAACCCCCATTGGCCTTAAATTAACCTCTCATGACGTAAATATCATTTGGTCATTTATTATCCTCAACAAACTCCTTGATCTTCAACCCGACCCGACTCGACCCGACCCGATCCCTCTAGATTCGTATTTATATATTCATCTCTACTCTCACTCTTTTCTAAGCATTCTTCCCTCACAATCCTAGAAATGGAGTTTTTAGTTGTTTTCACTTTGCTCTTCATGCAAATCTACACAATCGGAGCCAACATCCCGGCGGTGATTGTGTTCGGTGACTCCTCTGTAGATGCTGGAAACAACAACCAAATCCGAACGGTTTTGAAGAGCAATTTCAAGCCTTACGGTCGTGATTTTTTCGGTGGAAAAGCTACCGGAAGATTCTCCAATGGACGCGTTCCGCCTGATTTTATATCGGAGTCGTTTGGTTTGCGACCGTATGTACCGGCTTATTTGGATCTGGCGTATAACATATCGGATTTTGCTACTGGCGTTTGTTTTGCGTCTGCTGGTACAGGTTACGACAATGCGACATCTGCTGTGCTTGTAAGTTCATCAGATTACACGTTTCAATTGATCACATAAACTCGGTGAAGAATCACGATTGAACGGAAAATTGCAGCAAAACCCATGTGTTTCTAGAAATTTCTTCATAGCATAATGCAATTTCCATTTGAAAAAAGTTATAAACTCATCATTTATCTTCAAATTTACAAATTACAACAATTTAAATGTTAGATATTTTAAGATAAATGCTGTAAACAATAAAAATGTAAGTAAAAAAATTATATGATCACTCGTATTGAATTTTCCTATTCTTAATTACATGCATATACATTTATTTTGAGATAAAAATTACTTTGTGATAAGTTTCACAGAAGAACAAGCATTATTTGAAGTTTTGTTCATCAAAAAATCATTATTTTTATTATTTATTTAAATTCCTCTCTGTATTACTGTATATGTAATTTTTATTAATTATTTATAGAATGAAATAAAGATTACTCAATATGGGCAATCAGTAAAGTTGAAAGTATAAAACACATATATACATGAATATGTACACCTGACCGTCATTAATTCATTAGTTAATGAAATGAAGGGGTGGCATGTGAATTATTTTCAAATTAATTTCCTTTGGTAATAATATTTAAGTCACTTAAGAATAAAAATCCCCTTGTGGTCACGAGGTTCAAATGCGGTGACTCCGAGCTATCTGCAAAGCAGATGGTCGTTATGGGATTAGTCGGCTCGCATAACGGGTTGGATATCTAGATTAATAAAAAAAATATAAGGCAAAATTTCTCATTCTGAATCGTTTAGTCCCATGTCCCAACTCCGTATGGAATATTGAGCTTGTATAATTAGTTTGGTCTATTTATCAAACAAATGTATTCCAACAATATATTGATTTTTTCAATTACAGTCAGTGATACCTCTATGGAAGGAGGTGGAATACTATAAGGACTACCAAAGGAAACTAAGAGGCTATTTGGGTGATCAAAAGGCCAATACCATTCTATCTGAAGCAGTTTACCTTATAAGCATGGGCACCAATGATTTCCTTGAGAACTACTACACACTTCCCAACAGAAAATCTCAATACAATGTTAACCAATACCAAGATTATCTTAGAGTCATCGCCGAAAGCTTCATCAAGGAGCTCTACAGCCTTGGTGCACGTAAGATTTCCCTCGGAGGTCTTCCTCCGATGGGTTGTTTGCCACTAGAGCGAACAACCAGTTTCATAAATGGAAAAGGAGATACATGCAACGATGAATATAACAAGGTGGCATTGGCTTTCAATGGGAAGTTATACGGTATGGTGAAGAGGTTGAATGGCGAGCTTTCGGGGAGCCAAATCGTCTTCTCTAATCCGTATGCCATTTTCCAGCAAATTGTCCGGAAACCTTCCAGTTTCGGTAATGTTTGCTTCTCTTTATATTTGTGCTCGCTTGAATAAAAATCAAAGCTAACTAACGGTATTTTTTTACAGAGGAATCTTAAAATATTTCAAATTGAAACAAAAATAATACAAAATATGATGTGTTCATTTAAAAGAATATTATAGAAATATGTTTGGTGTACAAAATAATATGTTCATTAAAAATGTCCTAACATGAATATGCATAAGTATCTGCTTTTTATAAACATTTTTAATACATAAAATAATTTTTAATAATACATTATTAGTTCAATTTAAAATAAGCTGTGTAGGTGCATTCAATATTGTTGGTGGCAAGTGCATGGTGCTTTATGACAAAAGTAACATTAAATTGTGGAAGCCTTGCATTCAAACGTTTGCACGACAAGTGTAACTATCTTCCCAACTGTATATACGATTTTTTTATACAGTGAAACGAGAAAAAGTCGGTATTTAATTCGGATTTCGGCTTTGTAAAATCCCAAAAAATATAATAAGATGAATAATTGTTGTTGAAATTTTGACAGGATTCGAGACGGCAGCAATAGCGTGTTGTTCAACAGGACTATTCGAGATGGGATATATGTGTGATCAATATAATCCGTTCACCTGCTCCGATGCCAATAGATACGTTTTCTGGGATTCTTTCCATCCTTCTGAAAAAACCAATCGTATCATATCTGATCACTTGTTCAAAACCGTTCTTTCTAAATTTTTACCCTAAGTTTGGGTTTTAATTAAATTAATAAAGCCAAAAAGGGTAAATTTGGAAAACATGGGCGTGGTATGTTATATTTTATATATATACTTGTTATATTTATAATGTCATGTATTATGTACAAAGAGAATGTATGTCGTTGATTTCGAATCTTGGGTGAATTGTTTCTTACGGTTTACCTTCAGTTTTTTGTAGCATTTTCATTCAAAATTATGCATATCTCGTCTTTGTTAAGTATTGTCATACACACACTTGTATTCAAGCAAGTCTAATTTGTACGTCTTCGTTTATAGTCAAATACATGCACTTAAATGATATTTTCATGAAACTATTTTTGGGGTAACAGTTGGTTTCCGGGTCAGTTTACATGTACAGTCTATTCCGGACAACCATGAATGGCTTGCAGTCTTCACAAAAGAACCTCCATGGCTACAAGGTCTTTGACAGTGTCTGAATTCGAACCCCGGATAGATGAGATTTTCTATTACATCCCCTGAAACTTAACTAACACAACCCAAGTAATTTATTTTGCATGAAACTTGATGCTTGAAAGTTTAGGTTATATTTGACAAAGTTAACTTTCCGAAAAACTACCACAAGTACTATTTCAATAAGCTTTGTTTTTCCCGATCTTGTATTTATGCCTCTTATATTTTTTTTCAAATAATTTGTCATACTATTTTTTTATGTCATTTTACATTGTCAGCTAATTATCTATCTTATCAACTTGTTTATGAGTTAAACTTTTTAGCAAATAACTATGTACCAGTTGTTTTATCAATCATAACCTTAATCAAATACAATGACATTCTCCTTTCATTCATCATTCTTCACTGGGTTGTACTTGGATTCAGTCATTGTCCTTTTCTTGGTTTAGTTTTTATGAACCAATTGCATCTATGTGTGTGTATATATATATATATATATATATCACTTACGACATGTTCATTAGTTTAAATACGTGATGCCGACCTCCCAACCACCCGTCACTCTCCTCTTACTAATATCAAGTCTCAGCGCTAAGCATCCCTCAAAAATCTACCATCACTCGGTCAAGATGTGTCTCGCGTGAACACCAACCACCCCATTGAAAACCAAGAAATTGAATGGTCGATATAATCTATAATCTAACTTACTGAAAACGAACATGGATCATTAAAGAAAACAAGGGTCGTTTTTCATGATACTTTATTTTCATTATGTTGTCAATGAATTATTTTTATGATATATAATCAGATAAAGAATCCTATGAGAATACGAGTTAAAGTGAAAAATATATAACAAAAGATCTGAACATTTATTACTTTTAACCTCAAAGCAATCCATAAATTGCGTTTTAGAAAGAAATTAATCTAGTACATCTTATTAATGTTGATTTAATAGTTCTTATCAATTAAGATTGATTCAAATATGAAGATTTCTTCATCTTCTCAATCTAACTTTCATTTTGATGGAAACCCAACTTATATAATAAATGTTTGGTTTACTGTGTTTGGGGATGAGTGAGAGTAAGAGGTGAGATCATGTGTCATTATGGGAAGGGGTCCTCGATTTGAGGTACAAGTGTTTGAATGCTAATTATGTTGGTCCATACCTTATACGACTCATGTGTTAATGTGGGTGGTGAGTAGAACAAGGAAAAAAATTATATTTTTATTTTAATTTGTTATAAAAATAATTATCACTTTTTAAAAATAAGTTCGGTTTTATCCATGATTATAAGAGGTAAAAAGTTGTTCTCTATTATTAATGGTAAAAGTGTCATTTAGTTATTTAAAAAAATATAATAATTATATATTTATAAAATTATATGTTATTTTTATTATGTAGGCTTATTTTGGAACAAAGGGAGTAATAATTTGAGGCTTGAATTTAAATAATTTGTTTAAAATTATATTTGAGTTTGAAAATGTAGTGTTTATACAATAATCTTTCCTTATTTCATGTGTAAAATTTTCATGATAATTTTTTAATGTAAAAATACAATTTTGAACGTTTCATGTATGAAACAACACTGTATACACATTGTATTTTCATACGTATTGTTTCATATGAAACAATACATGAAAACTAGTTTGTACGAGTTATTAGGTTTGCAAAAGAATATTATATATATATATATATACACACACACAGAGAGGAGAGAGCGAGAGAGAATCATGCAAGAATCTAATTAATTTGTGAGAATCAGAGAAAAAATATATGCTACATAACATATTTAATAAACTGATTAAATAAAATATTATTAAATTAAATTAAAAAGAATTAGAAGGGTACTCGCGCAATACACGAGATAAATCTCCATTTTAATGTTTATTTTTTATTATTTTGTCTCTGTCGATGAAATATAATTTTATGTGGTTTTGAAAAAGCGATAATGTTTTTATTTTTAAATAAAATATAAATTTGAAGATAGCATAAAAAAAATCGATAGTATTAAATTAACTATTTAATAGTTTTCCTTTTTTTGGTATAACTTTTTTAATTCAATTTTTTTATTATAATTTAATTTAAGTATAATAATAAAATAATTTATTTTTGGTTTAATAATATAATTTTTATTAAATATAATAATTAAACATTCGGTTAGAAATTCGATAATTATCCTAATTATATTTTAGATTTTTTATATTTTATATTTTAAAATAAGATGTTTATCATCTATTTGATTATGTTTATCCGAAGTTAGCTACACGAATTCAAACATTGAGTTTTAATAAGTTGTACTTAATGCATAATTTACTTGTAATCTTGAATATTAAGTAATATGCATCAATATACAATATTTTATGCATAAAAAATGGTTTTTAATTTTTTTTGTCAAATGCTTTATAATATAGTATATATATATATATATATATATATATATATATATATGATTGTCATTTTGTATATAAGAGTTAATAAGAAGGGTTTCTTTGACAGAGCTTCAAACAAGCTCACTAAACTCTGCCATTTTATAATAGCAACCAAGCCAATCGGCTTAAATTTGAACACATTATCTGTAACCGTGAGAATAATCCCAAATAAAATGGGATTGAATTTGTTTTCCAAATTGAATTCTAATATTCCCTAATAAACTGATTTTATTACAAAGATAAATCACTACAGGAAATGTGGTTGACGAATGACTTTGTCATTGCTAGATGTGAAAATGTAGTCGCTAAAGACGTACAACAACTACGTTTATCGCTAAAATTCTCGTAGCTAGAAGTTGGTTTCTAAAAAGATAAATAGCAACCACAAGCGATGGCAATAATGACCAATAACGACTATGGTTTATTGCGACGACTTGAAGTTTATTACAACGCAAAGTCGTCGCTACAAGTGATTTTAATTAAATTAATTATTTAAGTTACATGGACTTTATGCCGTTGCTAAAAGTAAATTAATGAATTACTAAGAAATTATTATTAGCGACAAAAAGTAAATTAATTAATTTCTTGGAAATTATTGTTAACAACTACATGTCGTCGCAATAAAGATCATTTTTGGGGGTATTCCCGACTATTTTTGTGTACTTTTTAAATAAGCACGATTGTAATAGTAATAAAAATCAACAATGAAATAGACAAATACCAATAATAAACACGACCAAACCACAAAGGTGGTGTCTGATTGGTTTGAGCTTAACTCCAAAAGTCAAAAGTACCAGGAGATCTCAGGTTTAAATCCAAGGAAAAATAAAAATCCCCTTGTGGTCACGGAGGTTCAAATGCAGTGACTCCGGGCTATCTGCAAAGCAGGTGGTTGCCCTGGGATTAGTCGGCTCGCATAGCGGGTTGGATATCCAGGCTAAACAAAAAAAAAACACGACCAAATGTTAATTGCATACAACAAGATGTTCAACGTGAATATAAATATCTAATTGTTCCCCCAATCCTCATTGTCATCATCATCAGTGTTTTGCTACGATGGTGACAGTGGAACTACTGGCATGGTATAAGAGAATATAAGAATATATGGTGCCTGATCGGGCTAATATTCCTAATCGCCTGAATTAGTGACATGTGTGTCTCGTTGATATGTCTAACGAATGCACTGAAGTTCGAGACGATTTCTAGAACATGGTCATCAATAAATGATCGATGAGGTGGCGTAGTGTATTCGGACTCGTCAAACATAGAGGATGGCGAATCACCCTTTTAACTTTTTTAATGTGGCCAAATTTTCTTCTATTGCAATCAGTTTCGCTACAGCACCCGTTGCTCTAGCTAATTGTCCACGGGATGGATTGGTGTGGTTCTTCTATGCCTAGGACACCAGAACATCTCATGAACGAAGAAAGATAAGAGCCTTCACAGCCCAGGCACAAAGACGCAATTATCTTCGTCTATTAATTATTGAATTCATCCAACTCGATAGTACTCGTATGGGGACAGAGTCCTTTGATGTCCCTGCGTTCTCACCCTATTTTGTGATCGCAATGTTCTCCTCGTACTTTGCATAATATATGTGACTCGTTTACCTACGTTGAGGAGTCAGATCTGTAATGTTGTGTCGGTGATTTTTTTTACTGCAATCATCATATCTCCTGTGTAGTTTTGTAATAAGACTAATGAATAATGTTAATGTTAAATGCAATTATTAATGAACTAAAGTTATTACTTACATGAAAAGAGTGAACAACATCGTTGACCCATTCCCGGACCAAGTGTGCATTTTAGCCAATTATCGAACCAACTCGACAATTCATATGTCGCCAGATTTTTCTATGAAAAAAAATATATAGCATTTTAATTATCCAATTATCGAACCAAGTCAAATCAGACCGCTTTTGGCGGTTTGAGCGGTCTGATCTGAAAAATGTCAAACTGTTCGGTTTGGTCTGTAGTTTGAACCTTTTTTTGAGGGGTTTGTATCGAATCGACTGCTCAAAATACACATATATTAGTTACATTTAGTTTTTATGTTATAGATTCAACTTTATGACACAATTAAAAAAAAGTTTGTTCAAGACATTATGTTTTTAGTTTTCAATTCTCTATTGACCGCTGATAACTCTCATTTTTTAGAGTTATTTATTACTTTTTTCTAGGCTTTTGTAGCACTTTTTCTTACCCGTTTTGCTTCTATATCACTTATTTTTGTCTAAATTGTTCTTAAGAAGTGATTAATTACCAAAGATTAATTTTTGTGCTAAAAAGACGTTGTTGTGGACAGTGGGCATTATTTGCT